CTGTGTTCCATGGTATATCTAATACCTTGGAAATTATTTTGCACCCTTCTCTTGAATGATACCTTTAAACAAAGAGATCCCTCTGATGCTTTGGAAGCTTTCTGCGAACCATGGCTTTTGCTGTATGATGCAACTAAGAAAATGTCAGGAAAGACCTACTAGAACAGCTGAACTTTATTCAGGCTTAATCAGAGGCACTTTAAATGATGGCAGATGTGTACTGACTCCTATTTTACATGATTTTGAATGTGATTGCTTAATCGTGAACAGAGCTACATCCCCAGTTATAAGAGGGTGTGCACACTTATGCAACCACATTATTTTAGTTTTTTATGTTTACCCCCTCCCCCCCCCCCCCCCCCCCCAAAAAAAAAAAAAAAGATTTAAGTTTTTCAATTAAGGTGTAACGTTTATAGGTCACATTAAAGGTGGAAAAAGTTCTGAAATGATCAAATGATTTATCTTTATCTCATTTTTTTTACATCACAGAAACCTGATATTTTAACAGGGATGTGTAGACTTTTTATATCCATTGTGTGTGTGTGTGTGTGTGTGTGTGTGTATATTGAAGGAAATAAGTATTTGATCCCCTGCTGATTTTGAATATTTGCCCACTCACAAAGAAATGATCAGTCTAAAAATCGAATGGTAGGTGTATTGTAACACTGAGAGACAGACTAGCAACAAAAAATTCAAAAGAAATTCACGTCTAACAAATTAACAATGTATGCACTGATTTGCATGTTCTTGAGGGAAATAAGTATTTGATCCCCTTCACAAAACATGACTTAGTACTTGGTGGTAAATCCCTTGTTGGCAATCACAGAGGTCAGGTGTTTCCTGTAGTTTGCCAGCAGGTTTGCACACATCTCAGGAGGTATTTTGACCCACTCCTCTTGGCAGATCCTCTCCAAGTCTTTAAGGTTTGGTGGCTGACGTTTGGCAACTCGAACTCCCTCTACAGATTTTCAATCGGATTAAGGTCTAGAGATTGGCTAGGCCACTCCAGGACCTTAATGTGATTCTTCTTGAGCCACTCCTTTGTTGCCTTGACCGTTTGTTTTGGGTCATTGTCATGCTGGAACACCCATCCACGACCCATTTTCAATGCCCTGGCTGAGGGAAGAAGGTTCTCAACCAAGATTTGATGGTACATTACCCCGTCCACCGTCCCTTTGAAGCGGTGCAGGTGTCCTGTCCCCTTAGCAGAAAAACACCCCAAAGCAGAATGTTTCCACCACCATGTTTGACAGTTGGGATGGTGTCCTTTGGGTCATAGGCAGCATTCCTCCTCCAAACAAGGTGAGTTGAGTTGATGCCGAAGAGCTCCATTTTGGTCTCATCTGAACACAACACTTTCAACCAGTCCTGCTCTGCATCATTCATATATTCAGTGGCAAACTTCAGATGGGCCTGGGCATGTGCTTTCTTGAGCAGAGGGACCTTGCGGGCACTGCAGGATTTAAATACTTTCCGGCGTAGTGTGTTACCAATTTTTTTTCTTGGTGACTGTGGTCCCAGCTGCCTGGAGATCATTGACAAGATCCTCACGTGTAGTTCTGGGATGATTGCTCACTGTTCTCATGATCATTGACACTCCACGAGGTAAGATTTTACATTGTGCACCAGACCTAGGGAGACTGAGAGTTGTTTTTTGTGTTTCTTCCATTTGCGAATGATTGCACCAACTGTTGTCACCTTCTCACCAAGCTGCTTGATAGTTTTGTAGCCCAGTCCAGCCTTGTGTAGGTCTACAATCTTGTCCCTGATATCCATGGACAGCTCTTTGGTCTTTGCCATGGTGGAGAGTTTGGAATCTCTCTCTTTAAACTCCCTTTAAGAGACTGCTTCAAATCTCAGCTTGTTACCTGTATGAAAGACACTGGTAGCCAGAAATCCTGCTGAATGATAGGGAATCAAATACTTCTTTCCCTCGTGAACATGCAAATCAGTGCATAATTTGTTAGACATGCATTTCGTTTGAATTTTTTGTTGCTATTCTGTTCCTCAGTGTTACAATACACGTACCATTCGATTTTATAACACAATAACACACACACACTGCTCACCATGAGTGTCTACACCTCTTTTGAAAAGTAAGATTTTACTCAGTATATCAATGAACACAAGAACAAAGTCCAAATTTTTTACAAAACTGAGTTGTATAGCACATTTGTTTAGCTCATTACATGAAAGTGAGGTTAATAATATAACTTAGATTACAAAATCTTCAGTTTTACTCAAATTAGTTGATGAAAAAAGGAATACACCCCAGAACAAAAACTACTACATCTAGTATTTTGTATGACTTCCATAATTTGTAAGGACAGCACCAAGTCTTCTAGGCATGGAATGAACACGTTGGCGACATATTGCAACAATCTTTTTTCCATTCTTCTAGGATAACTTGTAGAGCCTGCATGCTGGATGGAGAGTGATGGTCAACTTGTCTCTTTAGAATCAGGAGACATGCTTGACCACTGAATCACTTTCACCCTGTTCTTCAGAAATGCAACAGTGGCCTTAGATGTGTGTTTTGGATTATTGTCATGATGCAAAAGTGCACGACGACCAAGGGCACCAAGTGTGATGGTAGCATATTCTCTTTCAATATAGAGCAGAACATCTGTGAATTCATGATACCATCAATGAAATGCAGCTCCTCGACACCTGCAGCACTCATGCAGCCCCACAGAAGGACACTGCCACCACCATGTTTCACTGTAGGCACCATGCATTTTTCTTTGTACTCCTCACCTTTGTGACGCCATACAGTTTTGAAGCCATTGGTTCCAAAAACATTTATCTTAGTCTCATCACTCCAGAGTACAGAGTCCCAGTAGTCTTCTTTTTCAGCATGGGCCCTCGCAAATTACTAGGTGGGCTTTTTTGTGCATGGACTTTAGAAGAGGCTTCCTTCATTGACGAAAGCCATGCATGCCATTCCTCTGCACTGTACACTGTATTGTGTCACAGACCCCAGTTTGGCTTTCTACTTCTTTAGGTAACTGCAGTGAACTTGCATGGTGATTTTCTTCAACCCTTCTCATCAGAAAATGCTCCTGTCAAAGTGTTAACATCTGTGGACGGCCTGGATGTCTCTGTGAGATGGTTGCAGTTCCATATTTGTAAAATTTTTGTATCACTTTTGCTACATTATTCTGGCTGATAGGTAAAGCTTTGATGATCTTCTTGTAGACTTCACCTTTCTTGTGTAAAGAAATTATTTTCTTTCTCAGGCCTTGTGACATTTCTCTTCCACGTGGTGCCATTGCTGAGATGAGAAGAGGCTTTCTTTGTTAATCAATGCCCTTTTATAATCAGCCGTCTGCTGCACACCTGTTTAATGAATAATTAGACTCACCTGTAGTTGAATTCTTTTTAATTAGGATTTTGTTGTCTAAAATGTAGCTTTGCCCCAAAGACTTTCATTGGGGTGTATTCCGTTTTGCAACATAATCTTGAATGAATTTGTTAGGAAAAATACTTTTTTGTGTGTGCAAATTAACAAATCTTGTTTGCAATCAATGGCCCACATTTTTGGGATTATTTTGCAGTATAGTGTCCCATAAAAAATGTTTGATTCTGAAAGGAAAGTAAAGGTTTTCTGACAAATCTGTTGGGGTGTACTCATGCTGAGCTGTGTTTGTATATGTGTGTATATGTATACTCTAGGAGAGCTGGACAGGGCTGTAGAAGTTCCTTAACCTTTTTGTTCTTTTTTTATTTTTTAAGGAACAGTGTAAAAAAAAAAAAAAAAGTTTAAAGTGCTCCCGCGTAGTCGGGAACGCATACAAAGGTCACACCCTTATATGTAAACGGTGTTTAAACCACACATATGAGGTATCGCCACTTTACACTGGTAACCTCTAGACATTTTTAAAGTGTCACCCATGGAGATTTTTAAATACCGTAGTTTGATGCCATTCCATGAGTGTGCGTAATTTTAAAGCATGCCATGTTTGGTATCTATTTACTCGGTGTAACATCATCTTTCATATGGGGTATATATTGTGGGTTCTTTTTTTCTTTTCTTTTTTTTTATCCTTAAAGTGTATTTTTTACAAAAAAAAATGTGTTTGAAACAATATATACATTTTTAAAAATTGGCCATTTCAAGTTCAGTTTTTCAGAATTTTCGTTACCAGAATTTTCATTTCGGTGCACCACTAATTTAAAATCTACTTATGATAAAAATTATAAGCCCTTCATTTCTTTGTAATTGGGCAAACTTACAAAATATACAGGGGATCAAATTGATTATTTTCCCCACTGTATATTAACTATATTGCCAAAAGTATTGGGACGCCTGCCTTTACACGCACATGGAACTTTAATGGTATCCCAGTCTTAGTCTATAGAGTTCAATATTGGGTTGGCCCACGCTTTGCAGCTATAGCGGCTTCAACTCTTCTGGGAAGGCTGTCCACATGGTTTAGGAGTGTGTCTATGGGAATGTTTGAGCATTCTTCCAGAAGCGCATTTGGGAGGTCTAATTCATCCCAAAGGTGTTCTATTGGGTTGAGGTCAGGACTCTGTGCAGGCCAGTCAAGTTCCTCCACCCAAGACTCGCTCATCCATCTCTTTATTGACCTTGCTTTGTGCACTGGTGCGCAGTCATGTTGGAACTGGAAGAGGCCATCCCCAAACTGTTCTCACAAAGTTGGGGCATGAAATTGTCCAAAATGTCTTGGTATGCTGACGCCTTAAGAGTTCCCTTCACTGGAACTAAGGGGCCAAGCCCAACACCTGAGAAGAAATCCCACACAATAATCCCTCTCCACCAAACTTTACACTTGCACAATGCAGTCAAGCAAGTACCGTTCTCCTTGCTACCGCCTAACCTAGACACATTCATCAAATTGCTAGACAGAGAAACGTGGTTAGTCACTCCAGAGAACACCTCTCTGCTGCTTTAGAGTCCAGTGGCGGCGTGCTTTACACTACTGCATACAGTGCTTTGCATTGCACTTGATGTAAGGCTTGGTTGCAGCTGCTCGGCCATGGAAACCCACCCATTCCATGAAGCTCTCTACGCACTGTGTTGTGCTAATGTGAAGGCCACATGAAGTTTGGAGGTCTTTATTGACTGTGCGGACAGTTTGCGACTTCTGCACACTTCAGCATGCACTGACCCTGCTCTGTCATCTTACATGGCCTACCACTTCGTGGCTGAGTTGCTGTTGTTCCCAGTTGCTTCCACTTTATTATAATACCACTAACAGTTGACCGTGGAATATTTAGTAGCAAGGAGATTTCATGGATGGACTTATTGCACAGGTGGCAACCTATCACTGTACTGCGCTTGAATTCACTGAGCTCCTGAGAGCAATTCATTCTTCTACAAATGTTTGTAGAAGCAGTCTGCATGCCTAGGTGCTTGATTATATACACCTGGGGCCATGGAGGTGATTGGAACACCATCCAATGATTTGGAGGGGTGTCCCAATACTTTTGGCAATATAGTGTGTGTATATATAGTACATTCACATCAGTCCCTGCCCTCAAGAAGCTTACGACCTAAGGTCCCTAGCTCACATTCATACATACACATACTATATTTAGACAGGAGCCATTGAAACTACCAGCATGTCTTTGGAGTGTGGGAGGAAACCGGAGTACCCGGAGGAAACCCAGCAGGCACAGGGAGGACATGCAAACTCTTGGCAGATAGCATCATGATTTGGATTCAAATTGAAAACCCTATAGCTGCTAGGTAGAAGTGCTAACCACTTAAAAACTATGATTGACAAATATGTGACAAAATGCACTAATTGCCCCTTGAATGATTTTGTTAAATTGGTAATGGCTCATTTATGGGATGACTGTAGAGCACTGAACTGTATCCCAACCTAAGGCTGTAAGGCCTAGTTCTCACTGGCATTGAAAGCAGGCGTTCGAGGTGCGTTTTTAATGCTCCAACACCTATACAAATGATACTATGGGCAGCACACAGTGCTGTTCACATTCTCAAAACATGAAGCGTTAGCGTCGCCTCAGAATAACACCTCATGTCGAGTAAGGAGGAGTTTGGAGCCTTTAAATACCTCCCATTCACGTCTATGGTGATGCTCCTCAAACGCACTGGCAGGCATTTGTGGGGCATTTGCAGTGCGGTTGTGGAGGGTTGATAACATTACAGTTTATTTAGTTTGTGGTGTGGTTTTAGCACTTGTCAAATACTTATAAAATGCTGATAGGGCATTTGGGGAGCGTTTTGTAATTCTAACGCCTATACTAACGCTTTAGGAGTGTTTGGTAAGAGTTAGAAATGTAGTCAAGTGTGAACAAGCCCTAACTCCCTCCTAGATTGGAAGCTCCCAGGAGCAGGGCCCTCCTATCCCTCTTGTATTGAACTGCATCGTTGCTGTATTGTCTCCCGTTATATTGTAAAGTGCTGAGCAAACTGTTGGCGCTATATAAATCCTGTATAATAATAATAATAACTCTGCTCCTCTACTTTTAATCAACCTATTTACATAAGACACGTATGTCTCCTAATGTCTTTCACTGGAGATCATAGAGAAGTTTGGGTAGGAGAAGCACATTGACTTCATTATTATAGCACACACAGCACATGGTCTAAATCCAGTAGAGGATGGCCTCTGTGCTCCTGTCCCCCTCCTTTCCTTTATTTCTCCTTTATGTTTTGCAACAGAAGATGTTGGGAGTGTTGCCTGCTTCCTTCCCTTTCATCAGTGCCGCTGAAATGACCTGTGAATTGTACATTAACCACCCACTGCCTCTGATCTGTTAATCATTAATCTCATCCGTTAATGCTGTAAGAGCCAACAGGGATCTCTTGTCTCCTGCTCTGTGTTCTCACCGCTCCCATATCACCCTTTACATTGGGGTCGCCTAAGGAACTTGACAAAGCGCCCATCGGGTGAACTCTGTCACAGTCACCCATAGGAAAGTTGCAGGGAGTTTATGTATATTTTCTAAAGACACTAAGGCCGAGTAAAAAAAAATATAACCATTTTCTTCGTTGTGCTGTGTGCAAGGCAGTCCTTTGCCTTTAGAGCCTGGGTACAGTAAAGCTGTCTGCACCTCTGTGTATCTGTTAAGCCACATTAGACACAGCATTTGATATTGCAGGATACAGCTTGTCCAATAATCTGCCTGTGTGTGGTCATCATTAGTGTTTGACATAGCAGAATAGTTTTACATTAAAATACCAAAGACATTTTGGTGGCTCATTATTTGCAAGTACAGTGCTGAAATGTTAAATTACATGTTCACATCACATATGGAATTATTGAGTAAGGCAGATGACAATGGGTATGGGTAATAAAACCGTGTAGATAATCATTCATAATGATTCATCTCGCTCATCTCACACATCATACTGCACTGACATGACTTTAGGTAACTGTATTTAGTACCACTAATAGAATAAATAATTGTATTTAAATTGAGGATGCACCGAAATTTTGGCGGCTGAAAATACCCCTATCGGCCTTTGGCTGATAAGAAAATAGGCACCAATACAGGTGCCCAAAACAGCCCCACCCCTACCGCCCACTGATTTACCGGAGAACCCATCCAATGATCCTGGCGCTGGGCATAGAGATCAGTAAAGGAAAGATGGCCCCCATTCATCTCTATGCTGTTGGAGGACCGGAGCAACATCATTACATCACTTCTGGTTCTAACGCCATGTAAACAAGGCCTGTTTTTTTGTTTTGTTTTAAAGCACTAGATCAATGCTTTTTTGCTTTTTTTTTTATCCAGTACTTTACATTGTAGAGGAGAGATGCAGGGTCTTATTGACCCCAGATCTCTTCATAAAGACTACCTGTCGCTGCTTATTTCTATCTAGGGATGTTTACATTCCTTACATATAAAGAAAATTTAAAGGGACAGTGTAAAAAAAAAGTTTAAAATACCTCCATCCCCCATGCTCGCGTGCAGTTGTGATCGCATACATAGGCCACATCCACATATGTAAACGGCTTTCTATTCTATTCTATCACTAGACCTCCTCTGTAACTTCTCGACCGCCCTATAGCAGAAATACTGCTACAGGGTGGAAGGGGTGCGCAAAATCACATATATATGTGTGATTTTGCATTTCTAAATAGGGGGCGCGCGCCCTACCTGCGCCGCCATCCGCGGCTGTCAATCACTGCTGGCGCCCGGTGATTTCCAATGATCTCCGACGGGGAGGAGAACTGTTTTGTTTACTAACAGTTCTCCTCCCTGTCAGCTCGTGCACGCTGCTCTGGATGGCAATGCACAGACATCCAGAACAGTGTGAGTACAGTGAAGCACACTGACACCGCCCCCTAGTAAAACACTCCCTGCACACAGTTAACCCTTTGATCGCCCCCCATGTTAACCCCTACCTGCCCATTGCCATTAGTACAGTGTTGGTGCTTTTTTTTTTTCTTTTTTTTTAAACACTGATCGTGGTATTGATGTCAGTGACACCAAGTCAGTTCCCCCCAGTGTCAGAATGTCTGCCGCAGTCCTGCTATAAGTCGCTGATCACTGCCATTACTAGTAGAAATTAAATCCTAGTATATATACCGCCATTTGTAAACGCTATAACTTTCATGTATACCAATTAATTTAAACGTATTGGGATTTTTTATTTTTTTTTAAGCAAAGACATGCAGTAGAATACATTTTGGAGTAACAAAATTAGTTTTTTTACGTTTTTTTTTTACTGGACATTTTTAATAGCAAAAAGTAAAAAATATTGTTTTTTTTTCCCAATTTTTTTTATAGCTTTTTCCTCTGGAGGGCAAGTGGTTAAATTTTTAAAGTGGCACCCATGGAGATTTTTTAAGTACCATAGTTTGGTGCCATTCCACAAGTGTGTGCAATTTTAAAGCATGACATGTTGGGTATCTGTTTACTCGGCGCAACATCATCTTTTATATTTTACAAAAAAAAATGGAGTATATATTGTAGTTTTTTTTTTTTTTTTTTTTTAAATGTGCATTGTTTTCCCAAAAAATTGCGTTTGAAAAATATATGCATTTTTCAAAACCTGTCCTTTTCGGTTTTTGGCCAAGTGCATCCTGAACTTTCGGTTTCGGCACCAGTATTTTCATTTTGGTGTACCACTAATTTAAATGAGATGGGCCTTTTTACTCTTGGCAATTCTTGTGTATTGCATATGTGCCTTGTGCCAAGTGTCGGTGTGTGTTGTGTTAAGGCAGGCCATTTATTTGAGATGAACTCCCAATGCACCATACACCACAACACAGAGTAGTATGGATTTCTGTGTGTTGTGGTGCTCTGCAGTGCATGTGGGTTGGATCTGCTTTGCTTTAGTATTTTGTGGTGCCATTAATAATTAATGGCACTGCAAGGTACGAACACATGTAAACATTGCCATTAACATGTAGTTGTCCCCCTTTCCCTGTGCATCTATAATAGCCTCCCTTTCCACTAGATTCTGGAGTGGGTCTGTGGTAATTTGGGGCTCATTCAGTCAAGAGTATTTGTGGAATTCACATAAATGCATGATGGAAGCGAGTCTTCTCTGTGTAGGGTTTGTGGTTGTTTCCTGTTTAACATAAGCTGGATTCTGGCATTTATGGTTTAGGTCTTCAAGCACTCTTTCATCTAGATCAGCTATTCTCAAGGGTTTCATAGAATCCTAGGGTTCCATCAGAAATGTTTATGGGTTCCTTGAGCAATGAATAAATTCTGCCTCCTGAAGCGGAATTTCAATCAACATTGACTTTTTTTAAATCCTTATGCTGCTAGCATTAGTACATAAATAGGAAGGATAATATATTTACTTCTTTTAAACTTTTTTTTTTTTTTTTTTTTTTTTTTTCCTTCAGTTATTCTTCAGTTTCTTCAGTTACTTCCTGGTTTCCAGGCTTAGGCAAATGATTTTATACATCCCAGGAGAGTATTCAGGAGGGGAGGAGGGATGACTGGATGGATGAACTTTCTTTGAATATTAAATGTGAATTAAAGCAGAGCTCCACCCAAAGAGGGAAGCTCCGCTTGTATGCACCCTCCTCTGCCACATTTGGGGGGAGCGGGTACCTGGTCCGCTGTGGCAAACTGAGTCGGAAGCTTGGCACCCGGTACTTCACAGGTCCCAGCAGACTACAGGACCATTCACAAGACACAGCGTGATTTGCGCATGTACAGTAGGAAACCGGCTGCGAAGCATGGCTTCACTTTCGGTCTCTCTTTCTTGCTATGCGGTGCCGGTAATCCAGAGACTAGTGAAGAACTAGCACGTGTGAGGATGGCGCTGGACCCCTGGACAGGTAAGTGTCCTTATATTAAATGTCAGCAGCTACAGGATTTGTAGCCGCTGACTTAATTTTTTGGGGGGAAGCCTGGAGCCCCTCTTTAAATAGCGTTTTTCGTTTGTAGTGCTCAGATGCATCTTG